AGCAGCAGCAGCAGCGGCAGCAGCGGCAGCAGCGGCAGCAGCGGGACGTCAGGGGGAGCTGCACGGCTAGACGCTCTCAGTAAGGCAGCAGCAGCAGCAGCAGCCGGCGCATCTGCTGAGAGGCCCCCAAAGCAGCAGCAGCAACAGCAGCAGCAGCAGCAGCACAGCAGCAGCAGCAGCAGCAGCAGCAGCAGCAGCAGCACCTGGCTGCCTTGGCAAAGACCGCATGCAGGGCGTGGGGGTCTTGAACTGCCCCCACAAAGTTGAGCCTGGGGTGCAGCAGCAGCAGCTGCAGCAGGAAGGAGGGGCCCCCCAGGGTACTGGGCCCCAGCAGCCACAAAGCCAGGGGGCCCCCCGCAGCAAAGTTGAGCCACTGGGGCCCCTCGGGGGGCGGCAGCAGCCGCTTCAGGGGCCTGCGAAAGCCATGCAGCAGCAGGTTTGCTGCTGCTGCTGCTGCTGCTGCTGCTGCTGCTGCTGCTGCTGCTGTGTGGCTGTGCGTGTGCGCGTGCTTGTGCTGCTGCTGTTGCCTGTTGCTTCTGCTGCTGCTACTGCTGCTGCTGCTGCCGCAGCGTCTACTGCTGCTGCTACTGCCTCTGCTGCTGCAGCGTCTTCTGCTGCTGCTGCTGCTCTCCCTGCTGCTGCTGCTGCTGCTGCTGCTCTTGGGGGCCCTTACCTGCGGGAAGTGAAGACAACTCCTGGGGGATTCCAAATGTGCCAGAGGGCCCCTGCTGCCAGCTGCTTTGCTGCTTCCTGCTGCTGCTGCTGCAGCAGCAGCAGCAGCTCAGCCTCTCGCCGCCTCCAGAACCCAATAAATCTTAAAGCGCCCACAGCCCGGGGGGCCCCTGGGGGCCCTAAAGGGGCCCCCAAAGAACCCAGGGGGGCCCCCAGGGGGCCCCCCAAAGGGGCCTCCAGGGGGGCCCCAAGAAGGGCCCCCCGAGGGGCCCCTGGGGCCCCCACCTGCCTCTGAGGGCCCCTCTTTAGGGCCCCACTGGGGCGCAAGGGGGCCCCCTGGGGGCCCCCTAAGGGCCCCGAAAGAACGTTCCCAGGGGCCCCCAAAGAGGGTACTTCTGGGGGCCCCTTCAGGGCCTCCCAGAGGGGCCCTCCGGGGGGGCCCCCAAAGAGGGTACTTCTGTGGGGGGCCCCCAAAAGTCCCTGAAGTCTCCTCAAGAGGGGAGCGGGGGGGCCCCCCGGGGGGCCCCCCATTATTGCTCTCATATAAGGAGCTTTGGGGGCTCCCAAGGTTCTGTTTATCCTGTGGGGCCTCCGGGGGCCCCCAGGCTTTAGCTTTGGGGGCCCCCAGCTGCTGGGGGGGCCCCCGGGGGGCCCCAGGTGAACAGGGTACTGGGGCCCTTGGGGGCCCCCCTGAAGACTGTGTTAGACTGGCTTGAGAAGATATTTGTTATTTAAAATAAGTTAATCAAGATAAAATGGGTACAAAGAGAAGGGGGGGCCCTCAAGGGGCCCCCTGGGGGCCCCCGGGGGCCCCCTGGAGCCCCCCGAGTCTTGGGGGCCCCCAGTGGGTAGGGGCCCCTAGGACCCTCTTGCGTCATTGGGGCTTAAATATACTTATTTGGTCCAGAATTTGAGTTTTTAATTTATTAATTTAAATAATTTAAATAAATATATTTACAAATATGCCATTATTAGCTAAATTGGTAAAAAAATGGGCCATCAGGGGGCCCCCAGGGCCCCCATAGGGGCCCTCAGACGCACATGTGCTGCTGCTTGGGGGCCCCCTCGCTGCTGCTGCTGATGGGGGGCCCCCTGGCTGCTGCTGCTAGGGGCCCCCTAATTGCTGCTGCTGTGGGGCCCCCCAACTGCTGCTGCTGCGGTCCCCCTAGCTGCTGCTGCTGGGGGCCCCCTTGCTGCTGCTGCTGGGGGGCCCCCTTGCTGCTGCTGCTGGGGGGCCCCCTTGCTGCTGCTGCTGGGGGGCCCCCTTGCTGCTGCTGCTGGGGGCCCTAGTACCCAAGCCAGCCCTCAGAATGGGCCCCTGTGGGGGCCCCTCTCTTTTGTTTTCTGTGTCGCCATTTATGGACTCAGCAAAAATTTGATTTAAATAATGAAAAAAGAGAAAAAACTTTTAGCTGGGGGGCCCTTGGGGGGCCCCCCAGGCCCTTTGGGGGACCCCCAGGCCCTTGGGGGGCCCCCCAGGCCCTTGGGGGGCCCTCGAGGCCCCTGGGGGGCCCCTCAAGACCCTAGCGAGGCCCTTGAAGGGGCCCACTTAAGGGCCCCTAAGGGTACTCACAAGAGGGCCCCCAAATGAGCTGTTATGGGGGCCCTCAGGGGCCCCCAAGGGGCCCCCGATAGGCCCTTGAGGGCCCCTTAGGGCCCCCATAACAGCTCTTTTGGGGGTTTAGGGTTTAGCGCTAAGAAAATGGGGGCCCCAGTGGGGGGTGGGGGCCCCCCTTGAGTTGTCGGAGTCTCATGGGGCCCCCTTAGGGGCCCCCTTGTGTTGTTTCGAAAGCCTAGGGGCCCCTGTAGGGGCCCCTAGATCCTACAGGGGCCCCTAGACCCTACAGGGGCCCCTCTGCATTGAATATGGGGCCTAGGGGCCCCTTGGGGGGCCCCTATGTGTTGGCTTGAAGGGTTGGGGGGCCCCTCGTAGGGGCCCCCAAACCCTCTCTGAACCCTAAACCCTAATTTGTAAACCTCTAAGGGGCCCCAAAACGTTAACTCCATGGTCTGGGGCCCCCCTTTTTAATACTGTCCCAAAAAGCCCAAAATAGAGTTCCTCTCGGACTGGGGGGCCCCCTAGCAGGGGGCCCCAAGGGGGCCCCCTGGGGGCCCAAAAGGGGCCCCCAGGGGGCCCCTGCAGCGAGCCCTACAGGGGACCCCCTTGGGGGCCCCTTCTTATGGGGCCCGCCTTACTTGGGGGTCTCCAAAGGGCCCCCAGACTGTTCAGGGGGCCCCTGAGGGGCCCCCAAACTAGGTGGGTCTGGCAGGGGGGCCCCCTCAGTTGCTTGGGGGCCCCTGGGGGCCCCCTTACTTGCTTGGGGGCCCCTGGGGGCCCCCTCACTTGCTTGGGGGCCCCTGGGGGCCCCCGCCTCTGCTGCGAGGAGGGCTTTGCCCATGAAGTCCACCTCTTGCCGCATGAGCTCCTCCCCCATCATCTGCAAACAAACCCTAAACCCTAAACCCTAAACCCTAAACCCTAAACCCTAAACCCTAAAGCGAGCCACACCCTTTTCCCTGCGCCAGCTCTCGCTCTCTCTAGTAGCGACCCCAAACCCTAAACCCGAAACCCTGAACCCCAAACCCTAAACCCTAAACCCTAAACCCCAAACCCTAAACCCCAAACCCTAAACCCCAAACCCTAAACCCTAAACCCTAAACCCTACAATGGCCAAAGCAATGCAGTCCGCCTGGGCCCCTGCAATTTCTGCTTTTAAATGCTCAAGACTTTCTTCCAAGTTGTCTGTTCTCAACATATCCTGAAATAAAAAAAATAAAATTAAATTAAAAAATTAAAAAAGAAAAAAGAAAAAAGAAAAAGACTAAAAGAAAACAAAGAAGATAAGAGACAGAGAGGAGATTAAAAGAGACAAAAGAAAATAAAAAAGAAATAAAAAAAAATAAAAAGAAATAAAAAAAAGAATAAAGGAATAAATAAAGAAAAATAAAAATAAAAATGAAATAAAATGTTAAATAAAAAGCCTCACCTCTTCCATTAAGACAGTCACAAGATCTTCAAACTTTTTGTCTTCTGCTGCTTTTGCTGCTTTGGGGTCCTGCTGCTGCTGCTGCTGCTGCTGCTGCTGCTGCTGCTGCACTTGCGGCAGCAGCAAGTCCTGCAGCTTCTGCAGCTCCAGCAACCTGCGCATTCAGACACCCACTTTCGCTTTCTTAAAAGCAGCTAGCTAGCCAGCTGGCTAGCTAGCTAGCTGGGTAGCTAGCTACCTAGCTAGCTGTTAGCTAGCTGGGTAGATAGCTAGAAGCCAGCTGAGTGGCTAGCTAGCTAAAAGATAGCTAGCTGGCTAGCTAGCTATCTGCTAGCAAGCTAGCTGCTAGCTAGCGATTTGCTAGCTAGCTAGCTGCTAGCTAGCTAGCAGATAGTTAGCTAGCTGCTAGCTAGATGGCTAGCTAGCTACCTGGCTAGCTAGCTAGCCAGCAGATTAGGTATTTGGCTAGCTAGCTGCCTGGTTAGCTAGCTAGGCTAGTGCCTTGCTGGCCCAAAACCGTAAACCCTAAACCCTAAACCCTAAACCCTAAACCCTAAACCCTTACCAGACAGAGAGAAGGCCGAATGACCTAAACCTGTCCTGCAGCTGCTCCACAAGGTCTTCCAGCTGCTGCTGCAGCTCAGCTGGCAGCGACGCCTCCTGCAGCAGCAGCAGCAGCAGCAGCAGCGCCAGCAGCAGTTGCAGCAGCGGCAGCACTTGCAGCAGAAGCAAAGGCTGGCAGCAGCAGCAGCAGCAGCAGCAGTTACTGTGGAAGCAGCAGAAGCAGTAGCAGCATTTGCAGCAACAGCAGCAGAAGCAGCAGCGGCAGCACTCGCAGCAGCAGCAGCGGCCTTTCCAGCCGAAGCAGCAGCAGCAGCAGCAGCAGCAGCAGTAGCAGCAGCAGCAGCAGCAGCAGCAGCAGCATTCTGTGGCTGCTGGACCTTAAAAATTTTTGCTGCGAAGTCTTTTGGCCTAAATTCCTCCCACCGATCGTAGCCGCCCCTGCAGCGCAAGCCAAACCCTAAACCCTAAACCCTAAACCCTAAACCCTAAACCCTAAACCCTAAATCCTAAACCCTAAACCCTAAAGGCTAAGCACTAGGCCCTAAACCCTGAATTGCACCAGCAGCTGCTGCTGGCTGCAAAGCCCAGTACAAACGGGTTGCTGCAGCTGCTGCTGGACTTGCTGCCACAGTTGCTGCTGCTGCTGCTGCTGCTGCTGCTGTTTTTTCTGCTGCTGCTATCATGACATCTCCTGCTGCAGCCTCTCCTGCTTGTACACCGCTATCAGTGCTGTCGCTGCTGCTGCTGCTGCTGCTGCTGCTGCTGCTACTATAGCTG